TTTTTTTTTTGCGCAAAAATAGCGCCTCCATTTCTACAAGTAACAGAAAAAATCAAACCGAACATTATTTTTTTTTCTTTTATTTTTTCTTTTATTTTTCTTTTATTTTATTTTATCTTTTCTTTTCGCTATTCAAATATCGGGGGAGGTTAGCACTCGGAATTAGCTCGAAAGATAGCTGTTTTCTGATAGGGCAAGGCTGTCCCGTGGTTCTGTTTTGTAGGGAATTGAAAGCAAATTGATGTACATCACAGTACCATTATGCTAATCTCGCGTAATCTGTGATTTTGTAGGTTTTGCTGCTAGCAGAAATGAACGAGGAAGAAGAAGAGGAGAAGAGAGAGGAGGAGGGAAGCGAGGCGGCAAGTGCTTGGCGTGAAAAGTTCAGCTTCGATCGTGATGAGGTGAAGCAGGAGGCCAAAGATGAGGGGGATTTTGCCGTACTTGCCGACACCAACGTCGCCGTATATAGCGCCGCCGCTTTGGAACAAGGCCTTGTACAACAGGTTTGTTGCGATTTCTTGATTCGGTGGCTCCATCTGTACTGTAATTCCTCTGAGAGGTCGCTGGAATTTGATAGGAATTTCAACCGTAACCACCCTCTGATAGGACCAGCACTGCTTCTCTTTTTCGGAGATTTGTTTAGAAGCCGTATGTTTTGACTCTCTAACATGCCATAGACACCAGTACTGAAAAAAAAAGAGGGGGAATCATCGAGAATTCGGGGGTTTTTTTTCCACGTACGAATTCTAATTAGCAGCTTTAGCTTAGCAATTACACACCTTCTTCATAGTCTATGGATGCACACCTCATCGTAATCTAAGGCTGGCGACGAACGGAATTGTTAGGCACACGCGCAACTCGAGGAAGAAATGCAAGTCAGAATCGTTAGTGGGCTGAATTGCGAGGCGATGCAGCACTAGTCGTAGCAATTGGAGGAGTGGCAGCTATTCGAAATTTAATGGTAAAATGATTCAGCCCCAGTTATATATATAGTGGATTGTTCTAGGTGGAACGGACACTCGCCGAGA